TTTTTTTTTCCCCCCCCCCCCCCCAATAAATGTCTGTCAGAACCTTTCTGTCCCTCTTTCTTCTTTCCTGTGGGGAAAGAGGTTCCTGTTGGTGCTTCCCCTGCTCCTCCCAGCCTGTCTCCCATTTTATACACTGGAGCCTGTTCTCCAGGAAACTGTAACTTATAATGATTTTTATTAAAAGATTTGTAACTTTTTTAAAACAGTTGTGTTAAATGCCTGACTCTCTTGAAGTAGGGTTCACCTTGGCACAGCTCCTGGCTGGGAGTGTCCAGGGAAAGCAGGAGTCTCAGTAGCATGTCCTATGGGACAAGCCAGCTCTTCTCACCTGTCCTGCAGGGAGGCTGTGGTGAGTAAGTGCATGTGGTGAGCAAGTGGGAGAGAGAGCACTCACCTGGTGGCTTGCAGAAACCCTGGGGGAGGTTTCACTCTGCCTTGGAGTTCCCAGCCCAAAGAGCACAGTCATTGTTTGTGGCTTGTCCTTCTCCCTGGCCTGATGCAGATCTCTTCTACCCAGATCAGGCGTAGTGGCAGTTTTTTGTCTGTATGGTTTTCTGTGAGCTCTGGACCTGGGTGCTGATGTTTGGGGATGTAGGAGACTGTTTCAGGTGTGTGTAGTGGGGCCAGCAGGAAACCTAAAGTCAATCCCTTCCTTGCTGATGCTTCATCCAAACATGGTCAGGTTTTAGGATCAAAGGGCAGTGTCCTGCTCTGGAGGAGGTGGCTCTGACAGCAGCTCATGCAGCAAGAGGCCCTGGCATTGTTCCATTGCAGGACTGCCCCACCATGGCTGAAGGTACTTTGAGGACCAGGGAACTGGTGCTGCGTGTCCTGCTGCTCCAGCTGGAGCTTTTGGGGATAATCCTATGCCTGGATCCAACTGAGGTGTGAAAAGTCTCCACCAGCCCCCAGAGCTGGCAGCAGCTCGAGATGGAGCAAGATGCTGCAATGCTGGGGCTTACTTAGGATTTAACAACTCCATCTCCTGCTAATTAGGGGAGTGCAATAGCTGTGATCTGGGGGGCTGTGCTGGCAGGATCCTCTGGGAGGGATTTAATGGGCTTTTCTGGCCAAGTGCTGAAGGAGCCAGAGGGAAGACACTGTGTGAGGGGGAGGGTGCACCCACCCCAAGCAGGGAAACAGCAGCACAGGAGGACTGGCTTTAACAGTTTATTTAAAATAAGTTTTGTTACAAAACAGGATTATTAATTTTTTTTAATTATTAAAATACATAGAAACATCTAATCTTACAAAAAGCTAAATTTATTTTTTCCCTTTTTTTTTTTTTTTTTTTTTTTTTTAAATAGAATATGCTATGGAGGAGTGAGGGGAGAGGGGCTGTGGTGGGAAGGAGCCATCAGTGCATCCAGTTGGTTATTTGCAGCAGGAGGAGGTGCACTCACGGGTGAGTGCTCAGAGGTGCAGGGGCTAGTGCCATCTCCTCCGACCCCCCCCATCAGCCACCATCGCCACACATAAGCCAATAGCTTTTGGGCTTTAGGTTAGGGGTTTTTTTGTTTTCCACTTGTTTTTCATTCCGAGACCATGTAAACAGGGTATAAATATTTCAAATGCTTTCATTTCAACCACGCTGTGATCTCTCTTGACAAGACAACAGATAAATAACTCTACAATAGCTTCATTCGAGACCGCTAAATCTACCCTGGTGCCGTGTAACACGGGCAGCCCCTCCACTGCCCTCCCTCTGTGCCGGGGGTCTGGTGTGGGGCCGGGCAGCACCGGCACCAGGGAGAAGGGCAGCTCGACTCATGCATGGCACCAGGGCCCCTTCATGCAATGACAGGGCTTAAGAAACCTACAGGGATAGGAGCTACTGGGATTTAATTTTTTTTCTGGCTTAAAATGGAGGAGATGCTGCTTCTGAAGACAGCAGGCAGCCGCCTGGGCACAGTCTGGGGGGAGCTGTGGCCAGGCTGGCCTTGTGAGGGCAACACATAAATGTTGGGGGGGGCTTGCCTAGCTCTGACCACCTCCTCTGGCCAGACACCTCCACTGTTGTAAAAACAAAGGTGGAGCGAGGCAGGGAGCACCCAGCAGCTCCCCACTCCCACTGAAAACAAAATAAAAAGTCACAGCGCCGAGGGGCAGAAGGGGGCAGATCAGTGCCCCCCTCCCACCCTGAGATGGGGGTCCAGCTGCTGGCAGACCCTGGCCCTGCACTGCTCATGGTGAGAGGTGCCGTCACCCTCTGGTGGCAGGTCCTGGTGGGTGAAGGGGTGGCACCAAAGCCTTCGTGTCCTCCAGCAGCCAGCTCTCTGCAGCACCTTGGTGCCAGGGCTGGCACTCATCACACAGGGACTGGCCTCAGCTTCCCTGGGGGGGAAGACATGCGTGGGTCACAGTGGGCAGGGGCCATGGCTGTCATTGCCCCAGCCACATCCAGCAGCATTTCAGCAGGTGCTGTGTTGAGCTGGCACCGTAAGCATCCCCACCAGCAGCCCTGTGCGTGGCATAGCCCGGCACCCCTGCCCTGCCAGGGAAGCGGGGCCAAAGCAGAGCCCTCCACCAGCTCCCGGCCGCAGACACTCACCTGGCAGCCACGGCTGCCCCTAAGTCAGGCTGGAATTGAAGGGGAGAGAGGTTCAGCCCCGGGCAGTGCCCTGCAGCATTGCTCCCCCCACTCCCTGCAGTGCACCCTGAGCTGCCACCGATGCCTTGGCACCAGGGTGCTCTTTGGGAAGTGCTAACCAGGCTCCTGATGGCTAATTAACCATTACTTAACAGGATGATTACAAATCAGGTTTTGCCTGCCAGTCTGCTCCCATTGACCCTAGCTGGGCACCGGAGTGGGGCACGAGACCACGGTGCCCCACCACCCACCTGAGGCCTGGAGCTTCCTGCGAATGGAGGCGGCGCGGCTGGAGAGCTGCCCCGGGCTGGGGGACACATGGCCCCGGCCGTGGGGTGCTGCAGTCCCTGGAGAGTCACCCTGGGGGGAGATGGGGCACAGCCCCAGGGTCAGCCCATGCCAGGCCCCAGAAGGAAGGAATGGGGATGGGTGTGCAGGCAGATCGTGCCTGCCTGGTTAGCTCTGGGGGTACCATGGGGCTGCTGTAAAACAGGGCTTGGAGTCAGAATCACAAACTCATAGAATGGCCTCTAAAGGCCATCTAATCCAACCCCCTGCCGTGAGCAGGGACATCTTCAACTCAACCTGGTTGCTCAGAACCCCATTCAACCATGTTTCCAGAGATGGGGCCCCTCCCACCTCTCTGGGCAACCTGGGTTAGTGTTTCACTGTCCTCAGTCTAAAAAATTTCGTCCTTGTATCTAGTCATCACTAATCTTTTAGTTCAAAACCATCACCCCTTGTCCATTTTGGCTTGGAAGAGCCAAGGTGGCAGCATCAGCTGTATGCTACTGCTTGGGGACAACCCATTCCTGCCAGGCAATGGTTCCCAACGGGGGTGGCTCCAGGGGCACAATCAAGAGCAAACAGCCCTGAGGACCACGTGTGGGGGCAAAACAGGGGGACCCCCTTGGGCGAGAGGGAAGAGGAATGGTTACCTCCAGCTGCTCCTGACTGGGCCAGGAGGCCAGCTCAGCCTTGCGGGAGACGGGCCCCAGCTCCACGGAGCGAACCCTCTCGGCGAACTTCAGGGAGCACAACGTCTCGCTGGTGTTTTTCTCAGCGGGGGAGACCTGCAAGCAGGCAGGAGGAGGCAGAAAGTCACCCCCCTGGCTGCCTACACACCCCCCACGGCTCCCTCACCCCAGAAAATGTGCTGGTGCTGGGCTGGCAAGATGCTATTCTTAACCCACTGCTCCCAGGAGAGCCCCGTCCACCCAGGGCAGCATCTGAGCCAGCCGGGTCCCCAGCACCAGGAACAGCTGGGAAAAGCTGCAGCAGGTGGCAGGGGCTTGGACAACCCCTGAGGGGGGCTCAGTGTGGTCACAGGCAGCTGGGGAGGTGTCACAGGGCAGGGACGGAGGGGCTGCCAGAGCAGAAAACCCTCCCGGCAAGAGAGGGGGTGGAGAGGTGCCAGCATGGAAGGCCACTGTGCCTATAGGGACGGCATCCATGTGCAGGCAGGGAGAGAGGGCAGGATTGTGGACCTCCGAGTTCATCCCCCATCCCTCCTTTTCATCTGGAGCACAGAGCTGCCCCTGGCACTGCAGTTGCAGACCAGCTATGCACACCCAGTCCCCAGCTCCCAGCCCAGCATCCTGCCCCCAACATCCCTCGCGCCTGCCCCAGTGCCAGGGCAAGCAGGGACCAAATCCAACCCCAGAACCGCATCAACGGGCTGCAGAGATGCCAACGGGCGCTGGGTACCTGCACCATCATGAGGGTCTTGCTGTCGCCGCTGAGTGAGTCCTGCAGCAGGTAGGTCAGCTTGGAGTTGCGGAAGGGCACGTGGCCCTGCCGGGAGCGCAGGGCATAAATGACATCCCCCAAGGCCGAGAGGGACTTGTTGATGTGCTGCGCCTCGCGGAGCCGGCTGCCCTCCGCGCCCGACCGCCCCACGCGCTCCGAGCCCGCCAGGTCCACGAGGTTCAGCTTCCCTGGGGACACACAGCCAAACCGCCCCCCCACCCCACAGGCTGGGTCAGCGCCTGGCCCCACGCACCCTGGGGATGCTGCAGCCCAGACGCCCCACTGAGGGGCTCTCCCTGTGGCACCCACCTGTGGTGCGGAGCCCCGTGCTGCGGTCGAGGCCGCGGATGGTGATGATGAGGAGGGCGTGGGAGCGGGAGCTGCGCTCGTTCAGGTTGGTGCACTCCGTCGCCCGGTTGACATGGCCAAACTCAAAGACCTGGAGAAGAGGTCGGGGAGTTGTGGGGGTGAGGGCAGCCTGCCCCAAAACCTACCACAGCTGCCCCCCCGTCACCCAGGGATATAACCCAAGCAACACAACCCCACAAAGGTGCCTGGCCCAATGGGGTGATGATCGCTGTCAGGTCTCAGCCTGGGTGAGACACCAGAGGCAGAGGGTGACAGACAGGACACTGCGGTGACAGCCGGCACCCTGCTAATCCTCTGGGAGCTGCTCAGGCCCCACGCTTTTATTTTTAACCCCCCTGCAGCTCATCCCATAGGACAGTGACCGTCACATCCTACCCAGGGACCTATTTTGGGGTCTATCACTCCCCAGTCTCCAGAAACACTCCCGAATCTGGGGGTCACGCACCAGAGATACCCCTTCCATTTCATCACACCCCCAGTGCCCCCCTCCTGCTCCCACCATTCCCCCCATCTCCTTGCACCTTGTTGATGTCCTCCACACTCTGCACCCTGAACTCGGTCAGGCCAGGCACGTAGAGCTGCCCACTGCCGTCGGGGCACAGCTTGATCTCCAGCTTCTCCTGTGGCTCCTTCACCAGCAAGTCCCTGGGCAAAGGGGTACCTGTCACCATCCCTACCCAGCTCCCCTCTGGCACAGCATCACTGCTGCTGGTGCCAAGGCTGCCAGAGCAGCCCTCTCCTCCCAGGGATGCTGCACATCCTATTTATAGACCGGCTCCCCGTGTGCCCACTCCCTCCCCAACCTGGACCACGTTCTCATCCCACCCATTGCTCTTTATTGCCATTCCTGGTCTCCATTATCCACACAGATGCGCTTCCAGGCTCCTCTCAGCCCCTCCTGCCTGCAGCTGGGCAGGGAAGGAAAATACTCCCAGGGAATGTTCCCAGCTCCCAGTTAGTGATTTCTAAATATAACATCCAGGGAGGCAGGGGCAGGGAGGAGAGGGGAAGGCTGCATCAAGGCCACGGGAGCAGAAGTGATGGCAGAGCTGGAAGCCCATGTAAGTGACAGAGCTCGAGGGTGAGTGCTTTGAAAGGGCAGCGTGCACTGAAAAATCAAAATAGATCTTTGCACAGCCAAATCCAGCACCCAAAGCCCTGGGGACAAGATGGGCAGCCAAGGCAGGGCTGGTGGGATAGGGAGGAGAGCAGTGTGGGGTGACACTGGCTCCCCAACAGCTCCACTCGCCCCCCCAGAACACCTCCCCCCCCTCCCATACCTGAGTGCCTCGTTGTAAATCTCAGCAGCGCTGACGCTGATGGCATAGTCCCAGTCGGCTGCCTTGCCCCGCACCTCGGAGAACAGGAGCTGCAGGGCCCGCTGGTTGATCCCTGGGTTTGCTGGTGTTCCCTGGTGGATTTCAGGGACAAATGGGAGGAAAAAACATTCTCTTGCATTTTATTCTGTGTGGGGTTTGTGTTTTGTTTTTTTTCCTAAGCAGGAGCAAAGCCCCGGGGGGTTGCTACAAAGGGCTCTACAAACCCCTTGGCAGCAGCAGTGATCACACCACTGCATGTGCATGCCAGGTCCGAGCTGGGCCCCAGCCTGGTTTAGAGAAGGTGCTGAGACTGGGCACCATGGGACGAGAAGCTGAAGAAGAAGGAAGCAAAGCCAGGCAAATTCACCTCCATTGTGTAGGTTTTTCCTGCCCCTGTCTGCCCATAGGCGAAAATGCAGACGTTGTAGCCATCGATGCAGGAGGTGACCAGGGCTTGAACCTCCTGAAATACCTGATGGAGACCAGGAAGCGTCAGGAGAAGGTGGCTGCATCCCCAGCTCATGCCAACAGCATGGATAGCAGCACCCACCTCCTCCTGGGACGCTTGTGGGGGGAAGACCTTATCCAGCTCAAAGGACACCTGCTTCCCCTTGTGCAGGAGGTACAGGACGGCGTCATCATCATCATCAAAGGTCACCGCGTTGGCTGCCTCAGGGCCCTCGCCATCCTCCTTCGTGATGGGGCGGACTCGCCCGAAAACACGGATGTTTCCTTGGGTTGGGGGGATGCAGGGATAGTGTTAGCTCCAGCACATCCTGCTGCCACCCCCAGTCACCGTCAAACACTGAGCAGGCTGAACGCTGCATCCCATCGCTGACCCGAGCATCTCATGTGGACACGGACCACCATGAGGGTGATGCTCCCCTTTCCTTCCTGCCCCCCCCGCCTCAAGGACGTGTTCTCCTGCAATGGGACCTGCCACCCCCCCCGCCCACCTTTCAGCCGCACCAGCTCGTTGTGACACTTCTTGCGGAGCTGCAGCTCCCGTCGGTACTTGCGCAGCAGCTCCCGATTGGTGGTGTTCACCTCCTCGATGGCTTGGCTGATCTGGGAGGGACAGAGAGCAGCAGTTCATCAAAGCCCCCAGCATCCCCACCCTGCGTGGAGCAGGGAAGTTGGGGTGGTGGTCCCAGAGGGGGGCTCACCTCGGCCCTGGCGCTCCGTAAGGTCTCCTGGAGGAGCAGGGGGAAGTCGCGGACCTGACGCTTCAAGCTGTTGTAGTCGTGGGTGAGCGTGCGCAGCGCTGGCTGCAGCGTCAGCAGGTTGGTCCGGACGCCTGCAGGCATGAGGCGGGGTGAGGGGCAGGCAGCACAACCCGCCAGCACCAGCCAGGTGACCCTGCGAGCCCCCCCCCATCCCCTCCTCACCCGCCAGGTTTTCATGCACCGCCTTCATCTCCACTTGGGCACGGGAAAATGCCTCTTCAATGGCACGGTTCTTCTCCTCCTCCATCACCTGCATCTCCTCTAACATCTGCCCATGGGCTCGCTCTAGCTCTGCCTCGTACATCACGATCTGGGAAGGGAGCAAGGGGGATGAACACTGAGCTGGTGACCACCCACTCCAACACCGCATCTTCCACCTGGGCAGGAACGGCGGTGGAGCTGGAGGGGGTGAGTTCTGATTTACACCCACTGTGCTCAGACCTGAGCTCGGAGCTGAGCTACTGTCTTTTGGGAGCTCTGCAGCTGCTGCTCCATCTCCTTCAGCACCTGCCTCTGCATCCCCACCTGCTCCTGCAGGTACTGGTTTCGGGACTGGCTCTCGCACAGGGCTTGCTTCGCTTTGGCCGACTCCACCTCCACTGTCTTGATGATGTACTGGGGAGAAAAGCACCCAGAGATGGGGTGTACTGAGGAAGCAGCACCCGAGGGGCACAGGATGGAGCTGGTTTTGGCCCAGGGGGCAAATTTACAAAATTGTGGCACCGTGCCGATGTGCTCAGGGCAGAGGGGTGGTTGGCACTTGGAGGATACCCACCAGGCACCACTCAGCATCCAGCCCAGCTTTCTTTGCCTGGCCAGGAGAGACAGAGAGCCCCGTGGTGCTCACCTTAATCTGCTGGGGCTGGGACTTGAGGCTGGCGATTGTTTCCTGGCTGTCTCGCAGCCGTCGGCTAAGCCGTTCCTCCTCCTCGGCTCTCTCGGCCAGGGAGTCCTTGAGCCGCAGCTCCACCTCGGCCAAGCGGTTCGTTTTCTGCTGCACCTCCAGGTCCAGCTCCGCCAGCTTGGCCCGTGTCTCCTCCGCCTCTTGCTGCAGCAGGGACAGCCGCTCCTGCAGCTCGGCATTCTCCTGGCCCCAAAACAGTACAGCCCAGGCCACGTCACCCATGGGTGCCCAATCACCCTTGCTGCCACCACCATCACCGCCGCGGCTCACCTGGAGGTGGGCACAGTCCTGGCACGGTGCCTGCTGCTGCTGCTGCCGCCGCAGCTCCCGCAGCTCCCCCTCACACGCCTTCATCTCCTGCCGCAACCGCTCGTTCTCGGCCGCCAGCAGGTCCCGGTGCTTCTCCACGTCCGTGCCACCCTGCACCAGGAATGGGGATGGATGCCTGCTGCACCCCGGGGAGCCTCTGTGTGCCACCCCCGACTGTTACTCTCAGCGGAGCCCCCCCATCTGCTACACTGGGGAGCCCCAGCCTGCTACACCCCGGGGTGGGAGCCCCTAGCCAGCCCACCATACCTGGGAACCCCCAGTCCACAGCATCGGGGGAGCCCTCAAGCATGCGGCACCCCAGGAGCCCCAGCCCACCACAGGGGTCAGGGAGCCCCCACTGTGCCCATGGACCCCCCCCAGAGTACCATATCAGTGAGCCCCCACTCTGCTGCCCCTCAAGAGCCCCAGCTGCCAGAGGGGCTTTCTCTTCCCCCCATGGGGTGACAGCACCAGGGAACCTCTGCCAGCTCTGCCCCAGGGCCACCACTCACGCCATTGCGTGGGCCAGAAAATCCCACAAACTTTCATCCCTCCACATCTCTGTCAGCTCACAGGGTCCAAACTGTAACCCTGGGCAGGTTTTAGTCCTTCTACATCCTCCCCGTGTGCCCTCCCCTTCCTCCTCAGGGACCCACAGCTCTGGCATCCCTCAGGGCAAGGGTGGCTCAAGCCAAGCCCCGTGGCAGCTCACCAGCTCTGAGCGCAGCCGGCTGATCTCCTGCGCCTGCTCCAGGAGCTTCGCCTTCAGAGTTTCAACCTGTCAACATAGGCAAGGTTAACCAGGAGGAATCTCAGCAGCTTTCGGAGGAGATCCTGCGGTGCCACCCCAGCCATCGGCGTCCAGTCTGGCTTGTACCTCATTACACCTTAATTTTCCACCTTGCTCTGAGCACCTGATTCACATGAGCTGATTAAAACAAACATTAATGAAAGGCTTGCTTCGACCTTATTCGACCATGGGTATAATTTGTCCACGTTGAGCATTAGGAGAAACCATTATTAAAAAAAAAAAAAAAAAAAGAGAGAGAGAAAGAGATTACAAAAGGGCAGATACAAAGAGATTATATTTTATTGTAGAGCCAACATGTTGGTCTGCTCCTGTCGATTCAGCCCTGTGACTGTGTGGGACTTTGTGAGACACAAATACATGAAACAAGTTTCCCATCAGCATGGAAGGATAAGAAAGATAAGCAAGATCACTAAGATATTAGAATTAGGACAGAGACTGAATCATGCAAATAATAATACATATATTTTTCCCTAGGCTTCTATTATTTCAAAGAATGAGAAGTTGTACATGAAGCAAAGGTTTTGCCGCTGT